CTGGCAAGTAGGGCAGGAGAGTGGTGGGTGGACAAGTTGACAAGAAAACCTAGGGAAAGCCTCTCCCTGAAATCAATCCTATTTTTCCAAACTCTCAGAATGGATATGTGGCCTGACAAGGGATGTTTTCTCATTTGTGAGTTTATTTATATGGATTCTTTTTTAGAAACATATAAAAACTAAATCACATTTAGTTATATGTTTAACAAATCACCTTTATTTGGAAAAGGAAAAAAAAATTACACAAGATCAGGACTGCTCTGGAAAGTTCGGGAATAGAAAGTTGCCAGTTTTTCTCCATGTTTGGATTTGTTTTTCTTATAAATATGCCTTAAGTTCCGTTGCTGGTAGGTTTTGGCTACATCTGAGATTTAGACAGGTGGGGAGAATGTGGAAGGGCATTCAGAGGGTATTTTTCTAGGCAGGGAAAGAAGGGTAGAGTCTGTCAGCAAGGGTGAAGTGTGAATGAGCATTGCAGAGCCAGGGCTGAAGTTAGGGGAGGAGGTGTGCAAGAGGCTACTGAGCTGTCCAGAGCAGAAGAGGGTCTGGGACCAAGAGAAGCTCAGGCTGAATTGCTCAAGTTAGGGATTTCCCTCTTTTGTATTTCTTCCCTACATCCAATTGGCCCACCAAATCTTTGCACTTCTGTATCAGCAGTTCCATGGTACAGCAGCTCTGGCCTTAACTCATGATCTGCTTACATCCCCATCTTGGCCTTTGTAACAGCTGTGAAGACCTTGTGTCTTTACCTACACAAGTTTGGTTTTGAAAAAAGATGTTTTTTCAAAAAACTAAATATATAGAGATCTCTCTAGAAGTAAGTTTCTTGAGTCTGTTCTTTGAGGAGGGATGCAAACTCTAAACCAAATGGCCCACATCATACCCATTACATAAATTCTGAGTCCTGGGGAAAAGAAAGTAGAATTAATCAGAGCAGGGAATTCCTAAACAAGAGATGGCTTCAGAATTCTCTTGGAGGGCTTGTTAACACAGGAATCACTAAGCCTCACTTTCAGAGTTTCTAATCCCATTTATGTGGGGTGGGGCCCAAGGATGTGCATTTTTGACAGGTTCCTAATTGGTGCCTATGCACTGTTTTGGGTGCTTCTTATACCGTGGGGAAGAGGGAAAGCTGAAGGGAGGATGAGAGAGGAATGGGGAAAGCCTAGAAGAGAAGGGAGAGGTGGAAGGGGAGAAGATCAAATACCCTGAGGAAGAATTTCCTTCAAATACTAAACAACCTTTTTCTTTTTTATTGATACATTATGATTATACATAATAGTGAAATATTTTGTGATATATTTGTACATGCACATAACATAATTTGATCAATTTTATTCCCTACTACTTCCCCTTTCCCTCCCCTCTTCCCAATCCACGTCCTCTATTTTACTGGTCTCCCTTTTATTTTTATGAGATTCCCTTTAATTTTTTTTTCTCTATAGCTAGCTTCCCATATTAGAGGGAACATAAAACCCTTAATTTTCTGAGTCTGGCTTATTTTGCTTAGCATGATTCTCTCCAGTTCCATTCATATTCCTGCAAATTGATTTCATTCTTCTTTATGGCTGAATTAAACTCCCTTGTTGAATACCTTCTTTTTTCTTATAACCCCACCCATACTTGTTTCTCCACATCTCCATTCTTTTAGTCTAAACAAGTGGTTTCCAATTTTCTGGACTTCCAAATCTTTAAAATTTCAAAAAGAAAAATAGGCTGGGCATGCTGGTGCAGGCCTGTAATCCCAGCAGCTTGGGAGGCTGAGGCAGGAAGATGATAGGTCTGAAGTCAGTCTCAACAATTTAGCAAGGCTGTAAGAAATCTAGTGGGAACCTGCCTAAAAATAAAAAAATAAATAGGGCTGGGGATGTGGCTCAGTGGTTTAAGAGCCCTTGAGCCTAGTCTCTGGCACACCCCCCCAAAAAAAGATTTGAGTCGCTCCCATGATTAGTCACTTGAGATCTTAAAGACAAATACATGCCTATCTTTTACTGTAACCAAAATTTCATAAAAGAATGGATAGTAGAATGAATAAGATATTAAGCTATGTGGATATATGATTATATGACCTGTGTGATTCTACATCATGTACAACCAGAAGAATGAGAAGTTATACTCCACTTATGTATATGTCAAAATGCATTGTACTGTCATTTATAAGTAATTAGAACAAATAAAAAGGAATTGACATTTTTAATACCAAAAGGTAAAATAATCACAAAATTAAAAATTGTCATTTATATGAAGTATGTTACGTCTATTAGGAAAACACTACAGTTTTTTAGGGAGGAACAGTTTTTGCTTTCCACCAGAGTCTGGTGATTTTTGTTTGTTCTGCACTGCTGGTAACTGAACAGAACTTATGTTTGCTTGGCGAGTAGTCTATCATTGTAATATATACCCAGTCTTTTGTGAAAAATTTATTACAAAATTATTGTTACAGAGGTCTAGCCAGTCTGATTGTTGCATCCAACTTTCCTTTGGATTAGGCACACCAAGAAATGCCATCTCCATCTACTTTCTTTGTTCTCACCAGAGTGATGTTGATCAGGTTGCTAAAATATTGTATGGAGGAGACATTCCAACTTACCTCAGTCCTTGGAAGTGCCTAGTGTATGTTGGCATCTTTGCTTCTGGAAACACAGGTCAGATGGGAACTACAATGTTGGCCTTTAGAATTGTGGGGTTGACCAAAGTGTCTCCCAAGATCTCAGCCTCCTATTTCTGTGCTGTTTCCTCCCACCCTTGACATCAACCTCTTCCCACGTAGAGTTCCTTGTGTTCTTGACCCCATTAAAACCCAATCTGAGAAAAATATTTAACTAGTTATTTATGCCTTAGGGTGAATAAAATATTTATGTGTTCCCTCTCCCAGAGAGTAGCTGCACCATAACCTATTGAGAATGGAAAGCTGCACTGTTTAATGAATTGCAGACAGCAGGTAGAGATATTTTCAAATCTTTCTTGGATTTCTGCAAACAGAGTACTAGAAGTGACCACCTATTCTGAAGACACGGACTGACCCTGGGCAAAGGATTTTAGATACAAAAAGAAGTCATTTGATTGCTGCTCAACACTGGAGGGAGATGCTGTCAATCATGGTTTTTCCATCATACATTGATCCTCAGCTTCATTATCTGTAAAATTAAGGGGTTGGGCAATATACTGTCCAAGTTTTGTGCCAGCTTGGACATTTTATGGTTATATGATTATTTGTTTAATGGTTAAAAAAATAGAATGTCAGCCAAAAATATTGAAATCAAATTTTATTTTTGGAAAATGACATTACACCCATCTTGCAAATGTACACAAAAAAGAGAATGCAATGGAGAACAGAGCTTGAGAGCCAAAATGATTGCAAGAGCAGCTCTTTGGCTGCACAGTATTGAACACTGTGAATCTGCAGCATTCACAGTTCACAACACTTTACACGCATGGGGAACTTCTCTAGACGACCTTGAAGTCCTCTGACCAAAGAGCCCTCATCAAATTATGAAGGGGGAGGGGGGGGAAGGGATGTTAACAGGCACAGGAGATAAAAAGGGTCTGCCCCAACCAGTTTTACATGGGCCTCACCAAACCTACCAGTCCAAAGGGAACAGCAAACCAAAAAGGAAAATTGCAATCTAAGAGTGGGCTAGGCAGTACCTGGGAAACAGCAATGCATATAAACCCAGGTCCTTGTCTTTTCCGATAATAACCATTCTAAAGAGATGACTAAAACTCATAAGTATGTTATATTTCTCTGTTTTTATTTTCTTTTCAAATAATTATTGGTCATTGGTCTTCGGATGTCTCCAAATTGCCCCAAACTACTGCAGGGATAAGGACGTCATTGTCTATTGTCTTTGGATTTCATGTGATTCTGAGAACTATTCAATTCTGTAATGTGATCAAACAAAGACACTCCCAATTTGCCACTGATTTTTATGTGAAAGGGAATTGAGTCTTTGATCACCATGCCATTCCTTGAGAAATGGTCAATAACTGCTGAGAAATGTCTTTCCCCCTTTTGGCTTATTTATTCTTTGCTGACTTTACTTGGCAAGAATGATTGGCCCCTAAATCATTTATTTACAAAATACCTGGGAGCAGGGAAGATACCTGGGAGCAGGGAGCGGGAGAGGGGAGAAGGGCCACAAGAAAGAATATATTATTTTCAGAGGTTAAAATGAGTTAGTTAAGAAATGTGATGTACAATACCATGCATTTACTCTCCAAAGCTAGTCACTAGCAAGCTAACGCCTCTAACACTACAACCACCAATTACAGCTGTTTTGCTACAGTTACTCAATTCTAACTACAGCTATAGGGCACAAAGGGTGGGCTGTTTCCATTTTAAACTTTCTCCCTTTGAAAATGGCCATAAAAACATTTTCTATACAAGTTTAATGGTACAAAAAGGTGACCAAAAATGTTTTGAAGAACTTACCACATATGAGAAATGCAAAATTCAATCAAAACATGCATTAGTTGTGTACAAGTCATAAGGGATCATTGGCTTCAAGCTGCAATATATTACAGGACCATACACTGGAGACATTTTGGTATAACCTCCTACTTGCTTAAGCCCCATTAAGAGAAATTATAATGAAACTCATTGGAAATTTTGGCATCCCATATGATATTGCCAAGCAGTGACATTCCCAGGGGCTGTGAACTCTACTGAATAAATGAACACCTAACAAGTTAGCTTCTCTAGGCCCACTGATTACATATATAGGGACTGCCTGTGCAGTTGGTGTCAAAAATAAAACGTTGAGGTGAATCTGTAACAGAAGGAAAAACTATATCTCAATTAAGTGAATGTTTCTTTTTATAGTATGGATTTGTTAAATACCCTTTTCATTTACATTAACCCCAGTTGCCTACCAGTTGAGCTTGACCAACTCAACAGTTGGCAAATGCAAAACAAAAGGTTATTACAGAGAGCTTAATGAGTAGTGGTAAAAGTTTAAACAAATTGCTCCTGCCCCCCCCCATCCCCACCCAGCCAAACCAAATGGCAGGATCAATAACCTGTGGTCTCTCATTATATTGCAGCTTTTTCAACTATGAGCACATTAAACAAAATCAACTAATAGTATTTAGCTGATATGAACCCATGGGTGGATTTTTCTGTTCAGCTGAGTATTTCTCTGAGCACACTTCACTGCTCCACAAAAATGGCAGACTACAAAGGAACCACAAAGTATTCTGTACAGTGCTTGGAAGGCAACAACCTAAAGATAAATGAGCTCTAAGAAAAATGATTGAGGTCTGCTGAGACCGAAAATGGAAAAGACAAAGGGCCAGGGTCAGGTTAATTTCCACCAACATGCTTCTGACTATACTGGAGTAAGACTAGGGCTGGTTGAGTCTGGAAATAATTTTGCATCAATTCCAAGGCAAAACTCACAGGCTAAGAAAAAGCATATGCTCAGTGCCTAGACAGGGAGGAGGAAAAACCGAAAAGTGATCAAAGAATTGCACAGTAAAAAGAGAGTGATAACAGAGCATAAACTGAGAACAAATATAGGGAAATAGAAAAGAAAAAAAAATGATACATGGGGGAGGTAAAGTGGCAAAAAGCCATTGATTTCTTCAGGTTATTTCCCAGAAATGAGAAATTCCTATGCCTTCAAGTCTTTGTCTTAGTTTACAAGGTGTTTATTCTGACTTCTATTATGTCATCTGATCTCCCTCAACTAACCCACCCTTCTGTGATCAGGAGAAGGAAGAGGCCTTAATTCCAAATGGGCATCCTATACTCCCCTAGCCCCAGACATCCAAGATAAGAAAAATTCACCTCTAATTCCTGAAGATGTTGAAGCCAATAAACTAAGGGATAAAAAGTCAGTCATCACAAATGGTAGCCTATGCCAACAAGCTTGGCTAATGTTGAGGGCTGCATGGATCCTTAACAAGAAAACAAGCAGAAAGCAACATCAAGAGGCTGGGTGTGAAGACCACAGCAGAGCTTTGGGAATGGAAGCAAGCTCTGGGAAGCAGAGTAGAGGAGATAGAGAAGAAACACCCATTTTCCTGAAGGGATAAGAGGGTCAGGCATACTGAAAGATAGAGTGAGACTTCTAGACTGTGATGAGAGAAAATGGAAGGGGCTAGGAGAATTTGCTAATAGTCTCAGCCCATAGTAGGTTGCCCTCTGAAATCATTGCTCTGTGATTATAGAAATTTGTTTGCCTCTCCACACTTGTGTCTTTGCTGCTGTGTAACAAGAACTACCTGTCTTTTACATACCAAAGAAGTGAGATCTGCTAGCCAGAAGAATAAAATTGGGAATTCATTTTTTAAAAATGACCCCTATTGTCTTATATGTAATCATAGGTTTTAAGGGCTAACTAATGGCAATCTACTGAATGATAATAGCACTAGACTGACTCTCGGCCACCAACAGCCAGAAAATCTGACAGAGATGCCTCTCTGGCCAAAAGGTAGGCATGAAAATCAATGAACTATCCTTGCTCCAGGTGGTCATATCTGCAAGGAAGAGGAAAACCTGCATGGACTCACAGAACAGTGGATGGAGCTTTATATGAAGTCCTCTTAGGGCAGAGGCAGAAATACGACAGTTTCTAAACTCCATCCTAGAAAAGAGACTCAGGAGATTTGCAAGGCTCAATTGCTAGAAAAAAAGATCCCATATCACTCCTGACATACTATCAAAGGCTGGGCCAGTGCTCAGCTTCTTCCTTCTCTGGGTTCCAGGTCTCATAACATAGAACTCCTGTTCCTTCCCCACTCCTCAAAGTGCTGATGGGTTATTCAGGAAACCAATCTGAGTCTAAAAGCCAAGTGTCTTAATGCATCAAAGACAAAACATGCTTGAGGCCTGGCCATGAATCCTATGGCTCCATGTAGCCAAAACCAAGTTTCAGTCACCTTCAAAAAATAATACCCAGTGCCTTTTATTTCCATAACAAATAGACAACTGTGAAGGAAGTCATTCAAACCACACTGTTCCAATGCTTCTGTCTAGGGAAGTCTCTTGACATAGATGTTTCTGACGTGCACTGTATTTTGAAAAATTCCCACTGGTGTGTATTATGCTGAAGTTCATTCTGAGGACATGGGTATGTTCTTTCTCCAATCCCAGGGAGATGTGTGATTTTTTTTTAAAGAAAATACATTTAGAATAAAATTTGAGAGGGAGTAGGTGCATCTCTACCCCGAGTATTGAAGAGATTAGGGTTGGAGATATAATTCTGTCCAAGGCAAGCACTGAATTCCTTGTCTGTGACCTGGGCTAGGTGATTCTAAGAAGGATCTAAGAAGATAGCTACATATCTACATTAAGATTCCTTGGCTACTTCTGATTGAGGAGGAGCAAAGGAAGAAGAAGGAAGTACCCGAGGAATGGGGTAAGCCTAGTAGGAGGTCTCTTAGAACTCAATTAATGAATACCCGTTAGTTCCCAGGAAGAGCCTTGCTGCATGTTCAGACCTTGTTTCCCTGGTTTCTGCCATGGAAGGCCACAGGAGCAGTGTACACAAGAAGATGAGTATGGTGCATAGAGCACACTGCTTGCTATTTTGGTGCAAACACAAGGAACCAATGTTTAACATCAACCAGGGAACATTTTAGTCACAATGCCCCTTGCTTAAACCTGGAAACTCTCCCCATCAGGGGAGGATGGCTATGGGGACATTGTGTACGAGGACAACCACAGAAAGACTAGGTTATTTTCTCTAGCTGGTCTAGTGGAAAGAAATCATTGCTATTTTAAAAGCAATCATTACCAGTAGCAATGGTAGCTGCACTAGTTTTTAAAATGCTGAAAAGCCATCTCAGAAAATCAGGATGAACAAAGCTATTACTTCACTCTTCCTTTCTTCCTTTCCCTGCTCTTGAAACAAGAAACCTTTAGTCCTTTGCCTGGGAGGACAAATCAGTATGTGGTGACATGTGTGGAGCAGATAGGGAAAACTAGTTTTCTTCTATTCCATTTTGACAGAGTAAGTAGCTCAGAGGACTATTCCAAAGGCGCCTCAAGATGGGGCATACCCTGAGTTAGATAGACTGTGTTCCTATTGGTCTTAAATGCCTCCCTCTCTTTGGGGACATCTGCAGCCCATGTGAATGGGAACCATGTGAATGTGGGGAGAAAGGGCCATATTAAGTTGCTGGGTGGATTTCCCACTGAGATCAGGGCAGCAGCATATGGCTCCAAGATGCAACATGACCCTGGGAAAGAATTCTCAGGAGCCTAATGGAAGGCAATACTGGTTAGTGGGAAAAGGCCCTGGAATAAGAGCCAAGAGATGCGGGTTCTAATCCCAGCCCTGCCCCTAGCCAGCTGTGTGACCTCAGGGAAATTACTTTACCTCTGTTTCTCCATTTCCTGGCCTGAAAAAAATGAGGAATTTGGGAGTGGGTGATGTGATCTTAAGGTTCCTTCCAGCTAGAAAACTCTATGATTCAATCTAGGCTAATACTAAAGTCCATAAGGACACAAAGCAGTCATGCTAATGGCTATCCTTTCCAAAACAGTGAAGAGAAAAGGAGATTTTCTCTCAATTTACCTCTAGTTAACACTACTTATGAAGTTAGTTGTTCAGCCCAGCCCCTATATATACATTTCCCCTTCTTTGTCCCTATTTCTATGTATGTAGGGAAGAAAAATTAGGAGGTAGGAACAAGCAACAGATGGATTGTGTGTGTGCACATGTGTGTGTGTGAGTGTGTAAGAGAGAAGTTATGGGGAGTGGTGGCAAATGCTTGCTGACTTGATGTTTGCTGACCATGAAGCAGTCAACACAATGGGACTAGAGTGGTAAAAAATAAAAGGGGTAAATGAGCTCAGTGACACTTTTTTTTTTGCTTTGAAAAATGGGCTAATTTAAAATGCAATTATTGGAGGCTTGAATTTTGAACTACGCCAAGCCCCTCAAAGTGGCAATACAGAAACACTTCCTTATAATTAATTAAAAGAAAGATGGAAACTGTACTATTGTTACAGAAGACTGCTGATTCCAAGATTATTATAAATACAATATGTCCATTTAGTATTTTCTAGTGGTACATAAGCCACATGCAAGGAAATTCTCAGCTTGCGTAGAGCATGAGGAAATCTGGTTTCTTCCTCTGGTCCTACTCTCCCAGCAGTCATTAAGCTGCCTCTCTAATTCTTTATCTTAAAATGAAGGTATGGGACTAAATGAAATTTTAAGAAAGACAGTGGATGGAGTCTTTTGAAAGACCTGGTGTAAAGTTTAAAAATAGACCCCCCATCATTCTCTATCCCCAACTCCCATTCCAAAGTACCATTTTTTTTCTAATTAATTTTTAACTATTTTAGGAGGCAATATGAAAACTGTGAGCTTCTAGAAAGAATTAGGGGCTAGGTGAAATGAGTTTCTCAAATGTTTTGAATGGATCTACAAATGCAGGAGAGATCAAAAGGAGATCCTCATAATTTGGGGGTTGTTCATTGAATGATCAGAAGAAGCAGAAACCCATATTACCATCATCTCACTTTTCCTGAATCAAAACTGTTTCTGGTAATTAAGGACTTCTGAAATTGTCTAGGGACCTCTAGCTACCCCTTCCATCTGGTGTTTCTCCCTGCACATCAGCAATGCCACCAAGTTGCCATCAATCCATGTTGGGTTGTCTTATAGTATATTTCCTAATTGTGAATCAGCTGCAAAGGAGCATATGCATGTCTATGCACGTGTGTGCGTGCACACACACGCACACACACACACACACACATACACATACACACAGACACACACAGCAAGCTCATTCCATTCGTGGGAGGGACAACTGCATGTCACTCAGTAGCCAAACAAAAGCTTGGCTTTGAATGATGCACCTTTCAAAATATCTGAACAATTACAAAGCAATAAAGGAAATCTTCATATCTGCTCAAGGCAAACACAGAATTAGCATGCATGGCTTTCACCTAAATTTAGTTGTCTTTGCCATTATGGGCTATGATTACAGACAAAAAGCAGTGTTATGAACCTGTACCTCAAAGACTGAGAATTATTTTAAATGATCAGTCCTTAATAAAGAGAAATCCTTTCTAGTGTTAAAGTGAAAGGTTTCTGTATCTTCAGTATGAAATATTAGGATTATAGATAAAAAAGAGTTGCTTAAAATATGCCATAACATTTCATTTAAAATATAATTAGAATGTCTGGTCCACATTGAAATTATTAATGTAAGCATAACTGTTAAAAAGCTATCAAAAGACTGATTCTATTGAATTGGCCTCTGCTATTCATTTCATATTCTCCTGGAGGTTACTGTTTGGCAGTGACAGCATGATTTCTAAACTACATTATTCTTCTGCATTTTTTTGGTAAATTTTCTACATGTGTTTTTTAGACAAAAGAAAAATCACCAGTTTATAAAAAAGGAGCCTGAAGAGTTTGCTCCTGAAATACAGACATGAGTTTTTATAAAAAGGATATTGGTTTCTTGCTATAAAAAGTGACCGAAAGTTGTCAGACCTGAAAACAAATTCTCACAGTGTTTTCAGTGTTGGCTGTTTACAAGGCATTCAATAGAACAGAGATAGATGGATACCATACAGTTCATTGTAATAACTTGGTATGTTGGACAGCTTTCTAGATGAATCAAATATATAACATCCTTTATTCCAAAGTCTTATCAATTACTTATTGATTCCAAATTGCCCCAGTGGAGAAGTTGACCAGGAATTGACTGTGCTTTTTAACATCTACTGAAACATCTGCAGTATTTCCCAATTCTGCTTCATCTCTTTTAGCTAGTCCTGCCCCACAGTCCTAAGCATCTGGTGCCATAGTTATTAGTTGCTGGTGTTTCTACCCCTTGACAGACAGGATTGGTGCTAGACAACAAATTGGGGCTCAATCAGGAGTAAAGGGCAAGGCTGGGAAGCCGCCTTGCCATCCTCCTGGGAGCCTCCAGCATTCTTAAGATCCGGAGACAAGGGGCACTTGTGTTTGTCACTCTTGGATGCGCCAATAAGATTTTTTCCCCACACAAACATTTTAAGTGCTATATAAACAGCCCTCTACAGAAGGAAGACTGCTATAGTGTATGAGTGAGACAGGAAAAATAATGAAGGCGCCTAAATATTCAGTAGAAAGGTCATGGACTAGCACATTTGGCATCCCTGGAAAGTTACCCCAAAGGACGGTTATCAATCTATCTCTCATAATTGGTAACTGTGGATCAGTGGCCCAGAGGAGAAATCACAGGAAAATAAACCCAACATACTACAGTGTGTTTTTGAAAAATAACAACAACAACAAACGAAAAATTGAAAGCACCAATAGCCCTGTTGGACACTTCAGAGTGAAGTATCCTACTTTAGTGGTAGGATTGGATTTGTACTCTGGATTCTACACACTCTGTCCTCCTTCACATGGAATCACCAAGCGAGTCAGAGTCATCCAAGGACAGGGGCAGGTACAGGTCCTGTAAGAAGAGAAGAGGCAAAGTTAACTTTCCCTTTCTTGACATCTTGAGATTTGGAATGACTGTTTTAGTTTTTATAACTAGTTTTTCCCTAATTTTTATTTTTAAATGATTATTCATAAGAAACAGAAAAATGCATAGGGAGATAACCATATGCTAATGTAGCCTTCACCCACCTTTCCCCAAACATAACATCTTAGAGTTCTATTTGCACTCATTTGTTTGAGTGAATAATCCTATGCAATTGTATTGCATGCACATTTGTGTGACTATCACCAGAGTCAAGATGCAGAACTCTCAGCACAGGGCTCTCTTGTGACACCCTTTTATAACTATATCCATCCACATCTGCTTCCCCAAGCCCTGACAACCAACAGAGATGCTTCCCTCCTCTGTAATTTTTGAATTTCAAGGATGTTGGCTAAATAGAATCGTGAAGTTAATAAGATTTGGGGATTGATTTTTTTCAGCCAGCATAATTCCCTGGAGATTCAAACAAGTTGTTACATGTATAAATATATCAATAGTTTACTCCTTTGTATCCCTGAGTTGTCTTCCATGGTACAGAAGTAAACAGATTGCTTAACAATGCACTCACTGAAGGGCATGTGGAATGATTCCAATTTGGGACCATTGTAAATAAAGCTGCTGTAAATATTCATGTGCACGTTTTTATGTGAATGTAAGTTTTCATTTTTTTCTGGAATAAATGCTCAAGAGTGCAATTCCTGATTGCACTATGGTAATTGCATGTTTAGTTTAGGGTTTTCTTTATTCTTTTTTCCTTTTTTATATTTTTGTTTTGGTACTGGGGATCAAATCCAGGGTCTTCCACATGCATATTGAGTTTTATCAGGACTACCATATTGTTTTCCAGAATGGCTGTACATTTTTACCTTCTCACTAACCAAATATTAGTGATTTCAGTGTCTACACATCCTCACCAGCATTTGGTGCTTTCACTACTTTTTATTTTAACCATTCTTGTGGATTTGCAGTGATATCTCATTGAGATTTTAATTTGCATTTCTGTGATGGGCTAATGATACTAAAATATCTCATTATGTATTTAAATGATATCTGTATTTCCTCTGAGTGAAATGTTTCTTCATATATTTTGTTCATTTCCTAACTGGATTTTTTCTTGTCAGTTTTAAGAGTTATTTATATATTCTTTAAATAAGTCTATTGTAGATATGTGGACTTGCAGATATTTTCCTCCCTGTGAGTAGTTTGTATTTTCATAACTTTTGCATGGTCTTTGGCACAGCAAAAGTTTCTAATTTTGGTTAGGTCCAACCTATACAATTTATCAATTTTTTCTCCTGTAAATTGTTCTCTCTCTCTCTCTCTCTCTCTCTCTCTCTCTCTCTCTCCCTCCCTCCCTCCCTCCCTCCCTCCCTCTCTCCCTCTCCCTCTCCCTCATGCTCATTCCTCTTTTTAACCCCTATATTTAAGTGAAATATTACTTAGAAATCCAATTCATGAGAAAAGGTGGGGTGGCAGATTTTTACCCAGCTCCATCTTTCTCTGCACCTTCAAAAGTAGCAAAATTTGAAAACCACTATTTTTGTGCTTGATATTAGCAAGATACCAAAGAGAATAGAAAATCTAGAATCAACGATGTGGATATTTGGTAAAATGGGAGAAAATAACTTCAATAGAGAATTGTCTAAGAAAATTGGAGAAAAACTTCTGCTCAAGGTAGAGGAAAAAGTGGAACTGAGGAAGGAAAAAGAACAGTGGGAAAGAGAAATTCATCTACTATCAAGAATGCTTTCTACAAGGCATAGTGGCACATACCTCTAATCTTAGCTGTTTGGGAGGCTGAGGCAGAAGGATCACAAGTTCATACCAGTCTCAGCAACTTAGCAAGACTCTGAACAATTTAAGGAGATCCTGTCTCACAGTAAAAAATAAAAGGGCCTGGGGATCTGGGGATGTGGCTCAGCACTTAACCCAGGTTAAGTGCTCCTGGGTTCAATCTCTGGTACCAAATAAACAAGCAAACAACAATAATAAAAAATAATGATTTTTGCCAGCCAGGTGCAGTGGTACATACTTGTAATCCCAGTAACTCAGGAGTTTGAGGCAGGAGGATCACAAGTTCGAGGCCAGCCTCAGCAACTTAGTAAAACTTTGTCTCAAAATAAAAAATGAAAAGAGCCGGGAGTAGTTGTAGAGTGCTTGCCTAGCATGCATGAGGCCCTGGGTTATCCTCATTATCACACAGACACACACAAACACACACAGACACACACACACACACACAAAAGAGGAGATAGAATCAGAGAAAGAATGACTTTTATTGAGAAAAATGTGGCAGAAAAAAAATTTAGGCTACTGAGAATGGAAAGAAAAGTAAACCACATTCAGAAACCTAAGGTTTTAAACCTGGCTAATTTGCAATATGATACTGAAATGTCTTTGAATGTTGGTTTCTTCACTAGTGTAAGACTTTGGAGAAGACAATCTGTAAGGTTTCTTCCAGTACTGAGACTATAATCTGGAACTCTCAAAGGAACACTAAATGATTTTAAAAACACTACAAAGGCAACTGTAGCAAATGGACCCACTTCTTTTAAACCTACCATCCCCCATCCCCTCACTGTAAATCAGGCTTTGGCAATCTTCACTATAATAGGTTAGATGTAAATATTTTAGGCTTTCTTTGATGACCATGTATGATCTCAGTCACATACACTTCTTAGGGTTTTGTTTCTTTTACAATCATTTAAAGATGTAAAAACCATTTTTATATGAGTGAGCTATCTATGCAAACAGAGCCAGGACCCTGGTAGGATTTGGCACTTCCATTCTAAACTACCAAATGAAAGTTAATTAGAGGGGCTGGGGTTGTGGGTCAGCAGTAGAGCGCTCACCTAGCAGGTGCAAGGAGCTGGGTTTGATCCTCAGCATCACATAAAAATCAGTAAATTAAATAAAGGTATTATGTCTAATTACAACTAAAATATTTTTTAAAGTTAATTAGAAAACTAATAAATAGTCACTAAATACAAAACTGAGGGAATAATAAAACTACAACAAAAACTTGTGAACTTGATTTGAGGCAAAGTGATATATGATGGAGTTGTGTCTCTAAAGGATTTAGTTCTCAATTACTTGAGAAAAGTGAAAATTGAACATCATCAAAGGTAGCTTTAAGCTGCAGACTTCCAGAAATATGGCTTAAGACTGAAAATCTTTTCTTCCATAAGTGTAATGACATTGGCAAAACGACTTTTTCAAAACTCTGGAAGTGGATCAAATATTTATAACAATCTGAGAAGTGTTTATTGAAAGAAAATGGCCAGATCTTTGACCAGTGTGGGAGCTCCCTGGAAACTTCTGCTTACAGAGTTCTTCTTTATTCACATGACAGAGCACACTTGCTGTTAACAGTATTTTCAGGGGGCATTAATCACATGCAATTGTTTAAAAGTTGCAATGGCCTCTCAGGTTCGGTGGCACACCCCTGTAACCCCAGTGGCTCAGGAGGCTGAGGCAGGAGGATCGTGAGCTCAAAGCCAGCCTCAGCAAAAGCGAGGTGCTAAGCAACTCAGTGAGACCCCCTGTTTCTAAATAAAAGACAAAATAGGGCTGGGGATGTGTCTCAGTGGTCGAGTGCCCCTGAGTTCACTCTCTTGTACTCAACCCCCACCCCTCAAAAAATTGCAGTTGCCTAACGTGGGAGCAAAAGTAGGGGAAAATAAACCTTACTGGAGCCAGGTGTGGTAGTGCACACCTATAATCCCAATGGTTTGGGAGGCTGAGACAGGAGGATTGAAAGTTCAAAGCCAGCCTCAGCAATTTAGCAAGATCTTGTCTCAAAAAAAATAAAAAGGGCTGGGAATGTGGCTTAGCAGTAAAGCACCCCTGGGTTCAATCCCCAGTACCAAAAAAAAAAAAAAAAAAAAAAAAAAATAAGAACAACAACAAAAAACTTACAAGGAAAAGGTTAGCACTCTCCACAAGGGACTTTGAAATGCTCTAACATATATTCCTGGGATTCTAGAAGGTGAGGCATTTGTCAAGGACTGAGAGTAATCTTAAAAAAGACTAAAGAAGGCCCTAATCTCTCGCCTTTGGCTGAACTTGAGGCCCTATGTAAGCAACAAGTGAAGAGTTAAGGTAGAGTAGTAACCTACCTGTCAGAGCATTGAAACCTGCTCCAACACATGCACAGACCCCCTTAGCGAAGGTTAGGAGACTTAATGGATCAGGGTTCTAGAGACAGTACAAATTTGTGTTTGTAACTCTTCTTTTTTTTCCCTAACTATCTTTATTTTTTTGGTAACAGAAATTGAACCCAGGGTCCTTAACCACTGAGGCACATCTCCAGCCCTTTTTACTTTTTATTTTGAGATAGGGTCTCACTAGGTTGCTTACAGCCTAAGTTGCTGAGGATGGCTTCCAACCTGCAATCTCCTGCTTCACCCTCCTGAGCTGCTGGGATTACAGGCCTGTGCCATCATGCCTGCCTCCTCTTCTTTTTTTTTTTTAATTTTTAGTTGTATATGGAGACAATATCTTTATTTTTTTTAATGTGGTGCTGAGGATCAAACCTAGTGCCTCACACGTGAAAGGCAAGCGCTTTGCCACTGAGCTATAGCCCCAGCCCCTCTTCTTTTAAAATAAATTTTACTTTGTATATTTGAGGTTTACAGCATGGTGTTATGGGATACATATAGATAGTAAGTGGTTACCATAGTGAAACAAATTAATATCTATGATCTCACATTTTTTTGTGTGTGACAAGAGCAGCTGAAATTTACTTACTCTCTAATACAATGCAATTTTATTAACTATAGTTCTTACATATATTGTATATATGGTTTCTATATTTGTTCATTCTACATTTTGCTACTTTGTATCCTCTGACCTACATCTCCCCATTTTTTCACCCCTCCCTTGCAGTTCCCCTGGTAACACACTGTTTTATTCTTCACTTCTGCATATTTGACCTTTTTTTCTTTTCTTTTTAGATTCCACATATAAGT